ACTTAGTACCTGCTGTAGGCGAGTTGATGAGGTGCCATGTAGGACAGAAACTGTCTCATGCCAGTTTTCATATTAAATAGAAAACTGCGAATGTCACTCTTGTAAATTTAATGGCAACCAGCGGGAGAAATTCCTGTGGTTTATATCATTAATTTTGCACTGACTGCTCTGAATGTCCTATTAGCACATGGCATGTAGTAAACTTGCCCCAAATTTAAATGAGGAGCCTCACAATCCAGCTACTTTTGTTTCCTAATAATATATAATAGAATTTTTCAAAAAAAGTACATTTCTACTGTATTTATGGGAAGTGACATGAAAGTACATTGCTAGACATGCCTAATATGACAGGAAGTGCAATAAGATGAAAGCAACATTTGAGCTGTTTTAATGTTAAAATGTAGATTTTATTTTCTTTGCAAAAGAAACCCAGCTGACACCCAACAAAGAGCCTTAATTTTCCTTTTTTGATGTTATGTTTTATATTTAGAAAGTGAATTATAGTTGTGAAACAATAGGAGGTGGAGGAGATGGCTTGGGTTTTGGGGGATAATCGGGGCTGTGAGTGGTGTTGATATCTGACAATGTCAAAGAACAATGGTGACAGAAACACAGAGAGGAAATTTGACAGCCCAGAGAGGATTTTAGTGTGGATAGCTCATGATTTCATCCATGCTGCTTTGTTTTAGGTTCTTTTTCACGCCCAGAAAAATTAGACAAGAGTGGAGTGGGAAGGAGGAGATTGGGTTAAAAAGAGCTTATTAATTAATAAAGTTAGCTAGGACAGCCTCTGGAATAGAGAGGTTTTATGAAAGGCTGTTGTTTTTTTTTTAATTAAAAGGGTTGGCTGGTTGTTGGAGGGCTGCAAGATAAAAAAAAAAAAGTGTGTGTGTGGATGGTTTGCTTTCCAGTTTCAAATGATGCTGCCTTTATTACTGTTAGTATTCAATTCAATTTTATTTATATAGTGCCAAACCACAACAAAAGTCGCCTCATGGCGCTTCATAGATACAGAGAATAGTGATGCGCGAATCATGAACGAATCGTTCAATACTCGAGAATCACTTTACTGACTCATGAATCATGATTCACAAGCCCAACTGACTGACTCACTGACTCATCCCTGTTGCTGTTAGCAGCAATGTATCTAGCTTATAATTAAAATTGTGGAGAAAAACACAACATCCAGTATCTTAACAAAAAAATTTCTGCTCTGAACTGGAAGAAAAAACCCTGAGTAGAAGCTCACATCAAGAAAATAGCTCCTCGGTTTACAGTAGCATCGCTCTGCTAACATGCTAACA